AAGGTATAAAGAATTAAAAAATGGGTTAGTGTAAGCACAATTATATTTAGAGTGGGTTGCTATTAGTGGATTTTTTTTAATTCTTCCGTTCATTAGAGTTATTTAAGTCAGGATATGGATGGCTACTCAGATCTTGCGTTTTCCCGTATTTTCACCATATGCAGTCAGTCTCCTGTCGATTTCCAGTATGCTGGTGAAAATATGAGAAAGCGTAAAATCTGAGAGGCGACCGATATCTTGACTGAAAGAAATCTCATCAATTGGAGGCTTGAATAAGGCAAGATTAGCAAAAACTTTGTAGAATGCCCGGGCAAACTTTGAGAACATCAAGGAACAGCAATATCAGCAAAGAGAAGACGATTATAAAAGGTAACATCTTTTGCATATATGAAGACCAAAATGATCTGGCCTCTGGTATGGTCGCAGTCTATTTCGATTTATAGAAGTGGGTTGACCTCGTTGTCGCAACTTGGTCTTGTTGTCAGGGCGACTTAGTAGAAATAACCAAGTCCGAAGACGTCTGCCATAGTAGCTGTCATGATTCCTAGCATCAGACAGTGGACTTGGTACATTCGCAAACGTTTCGACGGCATCGTAGTCGGCATCATCAATGAGTTGTGCCAGTCTCCGCAACAAGCTACGAACTCGTCAAAGAGACGAGTGAAGTCAATCCCTCGACAAGCGTTCTACCGAAAACGGTTCTGTCATTGTCTATCTATTACCCTCATTACCCCCTCTATTACTCATTACCCTCTTATCCAACTTTTAACTTATTTACATTCCAATCGTCAAAATCTGTGCTCTTTGGTGGCAAATCTAGTTTGGCCTCATCACACTCGCTATTCACCCCTTACCCTCTCTTTTGATCGGCTGATCCGACTCGAGCCTCCAATCCCGGTCACCTCATTGTCTCGTAGATTCGTTACTTCTCTTTCTGGTTGACCGATGTCACTCGGTTCCAGACTCAGTGTGCATTTTACTCCAGACGCTATTTATCAAAGCTCTAGAAGCAGGTACAATGCCGCTTCACTGAGCAGAGCGCCTTGCTCTAACTCCATGCTTGCACATATCAAGCCTTCAATTCACGTGTCATCTGCCATGAGTAAACCCATGTTACCTGAGCAAACTGTGGACGCCTATCTCTGGTCGCATTCGGCATATCAAGTGGATTTTAGGGCATTTTGGCCCAAACCTCTAATTTCTATGACAGTGTGCTAATCCGTCTGCCCAGCCCCCTTACTGCCAGGCCCGCAAAGTTGTACTGGTTTATTAGAAACGGATATCACACACTGACAACGTCTCCGCTTTATTTTCCGAAACCGCCTGCCACCCACTTTCGTCATCGCAATACCTATTCCTCCGGTTAGCGACAGATCCTTGGTCCAGGCGTCTCATTTTTGCTGGTCTTGCTCTATTCTTGTTTCCCCCGAGTTTGCTTAGGCAGTAGACAAAGTTATCGCTAAGCTAACCTTACTTCAATCTCCTGTTCATTAGATTTGTCTCTCCAAAGATGTCAATGGCCTCCCTAATCTTCCGCTTCAATATGTTGTCACCGTATGGAGCTGTCATTTCTGTTGCCTTCCTATTGATCTCGTGTCCAGTCGGTGCGATGTGTTCCGCTAGTTCTGATCTTTCAGTATCCATTTTCATGCAGATCCTCTGATGAGTCTGGATTCGTGTGTTAATTTTTTTACCTGTTTTGTCAATATATTTCTTTTCGCATGCGCCGCATGATATATAGTAAACTCCTGAACAGTTTACTTTGTCTACCATTTCATGTTGGATCGGTCGACTTGTGAAAAGTGTTAATTTCTCTTTCATGGCCACCTGCATATTCATTTACTCAATATTATCCTTAGTTTTTGAGTTAGTTCGCATGAGGATAGGCATATCCACTTTTGTGAATCCTTCATTATCCTTTCTGTCCTTTCATATTCCCCGCTCTGCCATCGGCTTTTCACAGCCCATATGTTTCTTTGTCTCACTCCGTTTGGGTAACCATTGCCTAGGGAGATCCTAGTCAATTTTTGCAGCCACTCATCCCAGAAAACTGCATCCGTTAGGCGTAGGCTTCAGACGATCATGTTCCTCATAATTCCTATCTTTAGCCTGTAGTTGTGATGGGACCTGAAATTGAGTGTTATCCCAGCATAAGAATTCTTTCTGAACAATTTCTGTTTGAGCGTCCCATTAGAACCAATCACCTCAACGTCCAGTAACGGTAACCGCTCATCTTTCTCTACTTTCATCGTGAATTGAATTTTTCCATCAATCTGGTTTACAAATTTCAGAAACTCTTCTAGTTTTTCTCTTCCATGTGACCAAAATGCGAAGTAATCATCCAGATCCCGCATGATCACTGTCGGTTGTAGCGGTGCCGTCTTGAGGTTCTCTTCTATTTTGTTCATGTACACGTTTGCCAAAAGTGGTGAGAGAGGCGATGCCATGGGAGGTCTAAATATTTGTTCATAAATGTTAACGTTGAATGTAAAATAGGTGGTCCTTATTGTCGAGTTGATTAGACATGTTAACGATTCCCTCCTGATCCGTTGTGATTCCAGAATATCCTCCTCTCGGTCCAGGATTTCCAGTATGGCATTAGTCCATTTTCTCCAAAGATATTTGTATAAATATATTGCATAACTAACTCACCAGTAAGTCCGTTTCTTCCAGTGCCATGTTTTTTATTTTTTGAGAAAACTCTTATGAATATTACGCCGGGTATGATAGCATCTCATTTAATTTCTCTAGTTTCAATTATATAAACTTTGCCAAATTGTGTGTTGCTCTATAATTGTTATTGACGGTTAGCGTTAGTGGCGCGCTTTCCTTGTGTATCTTCGGTAATCCTTATGCTGTTGGTGGTCGTGCATCCTTTCTTATGATTGCATTTCTTGTCCATGCGTCAATCTCCCCATTCCTATACATATCTTTCAGCATGGCACTTAGGATCCCATTCATCTTCATAGTTGGGC